TGAATTATATTAATTTACCATGAATTGTGATAGCCCTCATGATACAAAGGCAGACAACTGAAAGATATATATCTACAGATCTTTAACAGAATAGCAATCATGAGCCGAGGGGAACTGGTGTTCTGTGGGAAGCCTGAAGAGATGGTGGATTTCTTCAGCAGCTGTGGATATGAGTGTCCTGAGTACTGCAACCCTTTTGATTTTTATGGTACGACTTTTGAAGTTGTCTGAACACCTTTTTTTCTGAAGCTTGAACATGAATCAATTAGCCTGTTTTCAAGGTGTTCCTAGAGTAAAAAAAACATTTATCTTTACTGCTAAAAATATATATAAAAATAGGAATAAAATATCTAAAAACATAGCTGCTTTTATTTGACAGTTGATCTGACCTCTGTGGACACACGCTGCAGTGAGAGGGAAGCCGCCACCTACAGCCGCATGCATGACATCACATCAGCCTACCAGAACTCAGAGATCTATAAAAGCATGCTGGGAAAGATCGAGCAAAGCTGCCAGAGAGCAGACAAACCCATGATCCCATTCAAAAGCAAGGAGTCCCCCAACTGCCTGTCCAAACTGAATGTCCTCCTGAGGTAAAACTGCCATGACAAACCTTATTTCCGGCAGTTTTCATGAAAGGACGCTGTGAAAATATGCCTTACAAGAGCTATTTCTACCTGACCTGACCATTAAAAGAAATAAAATAAAAGCCATTCATTTAGATGTTACCGCATGAAGCACATAGTTTACCTAATGAAACACTTTTCATGTATTTCCTTCTCTCTTACACACACAGGCGGACCGTGCGTAACATGTCTCGTGACAGGATGGGCATTCTCATGCGCCTCTCTCAGAATCTCATCTACGGCCTGTTTATTGCTTTTTTTCTCATGAAGCTGGATAAGGATGTGACAAAAGGTGCTGTGCAGGACCGAATCGGCATAATCTACCAATCCATGGGTGCCTCACCTTATACCGGCATGCTGAATGCTGTAGCTTTATGTGAGTATCTCATCCACAGTTAACTTAACAATATCTTATAAAATATTATTATACATAGGTAATTGGTACAGACAAAGGAGAAAAAAATGTTTATGCTGTTTGATTAAGTCAGTGCTTTAGAGAAATAATTCCTGTCCTTTATATATCAGTTTCTGGCTGATAAGGGATCGCATCTCACAAATTGCTCCAGCATGCCCATGATTATTGCTTAACCATGAACTTAGAGCACTTGCGATAACACTTAATTGGTACTGGTCTGCTACTGTATTTTCACTTTCATGCTATTTAAATACATATATAGTTCTCAATAAGTTTGGAAAAAAGTTGTCTGCCATTTTCTTCCTGTCTGAAAATATTATCTTTTCAAACAGTTCCTGCTTTAAGGGCCATCGCTGACCAGGAAAGTAAAGATGGCTTGTACCAGAAGTGGCAGATGTTTCTGGCTTACATCATCCATATCCTGCCCTTCAGTATTATCAGCGTGTTCATCTTCACCTCTTTCTTGTACTGGTAAGTATGGGCGTGTTTGTGTGAGCTACTTGAGTTTATCAGAGCTCGGGTCAGGGTAACTATGGTTCAAATCAGAGGGGAATGTACGGTGGCCGAGAAGTGCAAAACAAATCACAATATCACAAAATGACAAATTACAAACGCAAATGCAAGTCTAAAAAACAAAATAACAATTCAGAAAACACAACAACAATTCAGAAAACATTATAACAAGTCAGAAAACACAATGACAAATTCGAAAACAAAATAACAAATTCGAAAACAAAATAACAAGTCAGAAAACACAACGACAAATCCGAAAACAAATTAACCATTCAGAAAACACAACGACAAATCAGACAAACCAGAAGAGGTAGGTATAGTTTGAGACAGCGCCATTGGTTTGGGATTACTCACCGCTGACTGGACGAGACATCTGTCAATCAACGTATACAGGAAGAACCAGCCGAAGAACAGCAGAATCGTGGTAGAAAGTTTGGAGATGGTATTTAAAGTAGCTCAGTTTAAATGTATTGTATGAATTGCCCTTACCAGAGAATAAAAAATACGGAGTGTCTATTTACACTTAGTGCAAATAGCCCGCCTTGTTGAATTTGTCATTGTGTTTTCTGATGTTTTCTGAATTGTTGTTGTGTTTTCTGAAATGTTATTTTGTTTTTTAGACTTGCATTTGCGTTTGTAATTTGTTATTTTGTTTTCAGAATTGTGATTTGTTTTGCACTTCTCTGTCACCGTAGGAATGTCCTCAGAATCAAATAAAAGTTGCTGGTTTTTGGATCTTGACCTCATGCTGTTTCTCTGTGTGGTTTGGTGTTTCAGGACCGTTGGCATGAACCCAGATCCTGTGCGCTTTGTGTGTTTTTCAGCCGTGGTCATGGTTCCTCACATCGTTGGTGAACTTTTAACACTGGTCTTGTTGGGGGTCGTTCAAGACCCCAATATGGTCAACAGCGGGGTCGCTCTACTCAATATAGCTGGAATCATGGTGGGATCTGGATTTCTAAGGTGAAGAAATTACTTTGAGTTATTCAGCATTGTCATAATATGTATTGAAGACATTGTTCTGCATTATAGATTGGATAAAAATATAATACGGTGTCTGTTTTTATATCAATGCACAATGTCAGTATATTAAAGGGATAGTTCTCCCCAAAATGAAAAATGGCTAAAAACTGACTCACTCTCAGGCCACCCAAGATGTAGATGAGCTTGTCTCATCGTCGGACCAGATTTGAAAAAATTTAGCATTGCATCACTTGCTCACCAAAGAATCCTCTGCAGTAAATGGGTGCCGTCAGAATGAGAGTCCAAACAGCTGATAAAAACATCACAATCTACAACTCAGTTAACGTCTTCTGAAGCAAAAAGCATGTTTATAATACACAAATCTGTCAAGAGGTTTTAACTTAAAACTGTTGCTTCTGGAAAAAAAATTTCTCCGGTTGAAGTTGTCTAGTATGAATCAGGAATTAAATATGCACTGTTTACATGCACAAAAAGTCCAAAACAGTTCTAAACAAATATTTTGATGTGAGAGGACAACAGGTGATGGACCTTTTCACTGGACTATTATGGTATTTTGGCCAGAAGTGACGGTTTAAGGTTACAAATGTCTTGATGGATTTGTTTATTACAAAAATGCAGCTTTTTGCTTCACAAGACCTTAATTGATAGACTGGAGTCGTGTGGCTTATTGTGATGTTTTTAAGCGGCAGTTTGGACTTTCATTCTGACGGCACCCATTCACTATACAGAAGATTCATTAGTGAGCAATTGATGTAATGCTAAAATTCTCCAATTCTGTTAAGATCTAAACAAAGATCTAAACAAATTTTGATTTTTTGACTATACCTTTAAGTATGAAGTTTCATAAAAATGTTTCTTATTCTTCCAGGAGTTTTAAACAAATGCCTGTGGTGTTCCAATGGCTGAGTTATCTAACCTTCCAGAAGTACGGCTGTGAGCTCCTGATCGTCACTGAGTTCTACGGCCTGAACTTCACCTGCAGTAAGAAAAATCATCTTCTTCAATCTATTGTACTGCATACTAATGGACCCCATTAAATAGCTTCACAAGCATAGTTTCTGTGTTAATGTATTTCTTATGGAAATAAGAATTTGAAGTGAGAAGCCAGTAGGTTTTACTTTACATCATTACCCACAGCATGTCAAATATTATCAATATTATTCGACTGTTTTCGACTGTGACTTGACATTTGATTTCATGGAGTCTTTAACATATAATGCATACGTTGTCCACACGGATGTCCTCTGACTACGCATTCCTCTCACTCAGCACCTTTAGCAGGTTTGCCAGGTTCATGTCTGATGGACAGTGGAAATATGATCATAGATCAGGGTTATCCTGGAGCTCTTTCACGTTACACACAAGACTTCCTCCTGCTCTACGCCTTCCTGCCTGCTCTCGTGATACTGGGCATCATCAGCTTTAAGATCCGCGATCACCTCGTCCGACGCTAAGGTCCTGAGTGTGTGTGTGTTGATGTGAATGTTATTTTATGTTCTTTATTTTGTATATAGAATATCTTTGAATCATATATAGTAGCCTACACTATATCCAGATAACCTCAACATGAAAGCTGAATCCATCAACCTTTTCCACAGTTATTGATCCATTTTCTCCACAATGTGATGTACCATTACTGTTTGTGGTATATATAATAATTTCTAATGTGGCTGTAAATAATCTGTGATATACAATAAATGTTTAATAAAATGTGTACCTGATATTTGAAAATGTATTTAGAATGAAATGGCATTTACAGCATTTGAATAAAAAGGCCACTTCATACCAGTGACTGTTTTTTCATACACTTGTGAATTTGTCATATGAATGCTTGTATCAATGCTTACATCGTGCTTTCGTTCAACAAATGCTCATGTTATGTCCCAGTCAGTTCTGACATGTATTTTCATGTGAGGAAAGCTAAAGTTACTATTTGTGGTTATTTCATACAACAACAAGATCATGTTGACAGCATCATATTATCAGTTTTGTCCCTTACGAAAATTAACCTGTTTTTTGTTTGTTTGTTTTTTTACTACAAATAAAACCAAAAACATAAGCATAGACTAACCATGGTATTTGTAGTAAGACTGTAGTTATACAAATGGTAATCAATCTGTCAAAAAAAAAAAAAATCATGGTTACTACACTATTACTATAATAAAACCGTGTTTAATTTTCATAAGGGCTCTCTATTACTATTCAACCATTTTCAGTTTTCAAATGTATGTAGTTCAAAACAAATATTGTTTCAAAGTATCAATATTTGTCAACATGAATTTCGCGTGGAAAGAGAGAGCATTTCTGAAAAACGGGAATAGAAAAAAATAGCCTAGTTGAAAAAATGCAGAAAAACTTCATTTCCCATAGTACACTAAATCATCTTACATCATCAAACAGTGACGTTACCCCTCGCAACGGTAATCAAGCGTCTCTTCTGTCGACAAGCATCAGTACAGGATTAAACTGAATCAAAACTCGTTTCTTTTATGACACCAGGCGTAAATTATTATTATTATTTTTTTTTTTTTACAAACAAATAGTGATAATGCCTAAAATAAGGTAAGCTACTGGTTGAGCTATTATACACATTATTGTTTTACTCCTATTTCAATGTTAGTTAGCTTACAAGCTACCCAGAGAGAGAGAGACTCCATTCAGGAGTCGAGCTACTGCTTTAGTAAGCATGCAGATGCTGCTATTCAAATCATGTTGTCTCGTAGCTCGGATACTTCATGGGATATTGCTGCAGCGGAAGTGCGCAGCAGGGAGAGCAGGACTGATGAAGAGGATGCTGAAGAGGACGCACACTTTCCCACACAGAGAACAGTCTTCTTCATGGGCAGTAAAGCAGGGGTATGCGTATGCCTGCAGCATATCACTCTAAACACTCAGGCCTACTTGAAGTAAAGCTAGGGTTTGATAATGTTTGAAAATGTATGTGCTAGTACCAAACAATTGAACTTTTCAGCCAACACAAAAACATTTTACAGTACACCTCTGTTTTAGGGTAAGACAACGGTATTACTGCGGTTTCTTGATAGGTAAGTTTAAGATGTGATACTGTACATTTGAAGTTTTTGAGAGCTTTCCTATCACCTCACATAATGTTTCTGTTTTACCCTTTAAACCAGAGATGAGGCAGCTAAACCTACTCTTGCACTGGAGTACACTTTTGGTAGACGTGCAAGAGGGCATAATATGGTATGGGTATTGTCCTCGGTTTCTTACAGAAAGAAAAAAATAATTTCTATTTAATTGATATATAAAAGTATGTTTTTCTCCTCTTTGCAGCCTAAAGACATCGCTCACCTGTGGGAACTGGGAGGAGGAATTTCCTTATCAGACCTAGTGCAGATTCCCATCACGGCTGACAATGTCAGGTTAGACTCGTAAACATTGTACACTCAATCAGGCTGGGTTTACATTTAACTCAAATTAATCTGAGGTAGTTTACACGTGGAAGCTTATTTAAAAATAACAATAAATTATTCAGACTTTTCTTCTCAGAATTGGGAGTACACTTTTGGTAGACGTGCAAGAGGGCATAATACGGTATGGGTATTGTCCTCGGTTTCTTAAAGAAAGAAAAAAAGAATTTATATTTTAATTGATATATAAAAGTATGTTTTTCTCCTCTTTGCAGCCTAAAGACATCGCTCACCTGTGGGAACTGGGAGGAGGAATTTCCTTATCAGACCTAGTGCAGATTCCCATCACGGCTGACAATGTCAGGTTAGACTCGTAAACATTGTACACTCAATCAGGCTGGGTTTACATTTAACTCAAATTAATCTGAGGTAGTTTACACGTGGAAGCTTATTTAAAAATAACAATAAATTATTCAGACTTTTCTTCTCAGAATTGTACGTTTATTTCTCCTTATTTTGAGTTAACATCTTGCAATTTAGACTGCTTTCTTGGAATTCTTGGATATAAAAAAATGTATATCTTGCAATCTGTGTTTGTATCTTGTAACTTTTTTTTCAGATTTTTTTTTTCAGTTTACATTTCGCAATTCCTTTTTTGCACCACAAAATAAAAATTTTAAAAGGTAATTGCAATGTTATCTCACAATTCAGATTTTTTCCCCTCACAACAATTGTGAATTTATATCTCATAATTGAGACTTTTCTTCTTTGTCTTTTTACTTTTTGAGCTGTACGTTTACATTTCGCAATTTTGATTTTTTTTTCTGAGTTTACATTTTACATTTTGAATTCTAAGTTTACATTTTACAATTCTTTTTTTCGCCACCTACATAAAAAAAAAAAGAAAAACATAATTGGAATTTTTTATTTCACAGTTTAGGCTTTTTTCTCACAGTTGTGAGTTTTGTATCTCACAATTAAGACTGTTCGGTTACACTATTTTACACTATTTTAAGGTGTCCTTGTTACAGTGTAATTGTACATTTAAGTACTAAGTCATATTAATTAGCTACATGTATTATGCAATTATGCCTAATTTATTGTTATTAGAATAGTAAGTACATGTAACAAGGACACCTTAAAATAAATTGTTACCGACTTTTCTTAGAATTCTGAGTTTATATCTCACAATTCTGGATTTTTTCTCAGATTTCTGAGTTTACGCTGCGTAATTGATTTTTTTTTTGCCACTGAATAAAAAAGGTAATTGTGACTTTTTTAAATCTCACAATTCAGACTTTTATCTCGGAAATATAGAATTTTTATTTTGTGGTGGAATAATTCAAATCAGATGTGCTTGTTTTTACAGTTCTTTGTCTGTAGTACTTGTTCTGGATGTTTCTAAACCCAATGCTCTGTGGGAGACCGTGGAGAGGCTGCTGGATTCCGCTCGAAGTCAGGTGGAAAAAGTGTGTGCCTCACTCCAAAAGACAGGAGAATCCAGATCCGGCAAACAACGAGTCCCACGAGTCCTCCACAAAGACTATCCGGTGTGAGAGAGTAACATAAATGCTATAAATGAAGCTTGAAATCGAGTGTTTCAGTCTATTACATGAAACAGCCTCTTTTCAACAGGACAGAGAGCTTATCAGCCCTTTCCCTGTTCCTCTTCTCATAGTTGGAAGCAAGTTTGACATCTTTCAGGTAAAATCTCATGTTATACAGCCTGCATTCATACTGCTGTCTGTGTTTTAAATAGTATGCAAAAGAATGTAATATGCAACAGTTAACATGTCAAAGCATTACCTTTTTTTTAGTGCATCTTAACTATAAAATCAACTCTTAAAAAAGAGTTCTATCTATCCATCTCCTTCTAGGACTTTGATTCAGAGAAGAGAATGGTGATTTGTAAGACTCTGCGCTTCATAGCCCACTTCTATGGAGCCTCTTTAATCGTAAGACTGACGTCATACTAAAGAATTTCAGAATGCGGTTTGAAAATGATCATGGATCATAACCTACAGAAATATATAGCTTCATAAAATCAATAACTGAAGAACTCTAAACTGACATCACCCTTCTATGGCATAACTAAGCTTTACTAAATCACCCATTTAGCATTTCTGTTTTTCTGGTCAGTGTTATGTTTGTATGATCTATGACTCTCCACAGCTCACCAGCAGCAAGTCAGAAGCCACAATGTCTAAAAGCAGGAGTTTTGTTAATCAGCTGGCATTTGGGACTGAAAGACCGTATGAACCTTTCATTATTTTCTTGTACTTAAGATGCGGGATATTCTTCATTACTAAAGTTTATTAGTCACAGTATTATAAAATGGTTTTCTCTTCCATTCTATTAGAAAGTCGGTCTCTACTGACCCCAGCAAACCTCTGGCTATTCCAGCAGGCTTTGACACCTTTTTTTTAGTGCATCTTAACTATAAAATCAACTCTTAAAAAAAAGAGTTCTATCTATCCATGTCCTTCTAGGACTTTGATTCAGAGAAGAGAATGGTGATTTGTAAGACTCTGCGCTTCATAGCCCACTTCTATGGAGCCTCTTTAATCGTAAGACTGACGTCATACTAAAGAATTTCAGAATGCGGTTTGAAAATGATCATGGATCATAACCTACAGAAATATATAGCTTCATAAAATCAATAACTGAAGAACTCTAAACTGACATCACCCTTCTATGGCATAACTAAGCTTTACTAAATCACCCATTTAGCATTTCTGTTTTTCTGGTCAGTGTTATGTTTGTATGATCTATGACTCTCCACAGCTCACCAGCAGCAAGTCAGAAGCCACAATGTCTAAAAGCAGGAGTTTTGTTAATCAGCTGGCATTTGGGACTGAAAGACCGTATGAACCTTTCATTATTTTCTTGTACTTAAGATGCGGGATATTCTTCATTACTAAAGTTTATTAGTCACAGTATTATAAAATGGTTTTCTCTTCCATTCTATTAGAAAGTCGGTCTCTACTGACCCCAGCAAACCTCTGGCTATTCCAGCAGGCTTTGACTCTCTCAATCAGATCGGTAAGATATGTATTGTACTTTTGTTGTTAAAATATTGTTAAACATTCAGTTTTACCTCAATATTAAAAAGGGTTACTGAAATTGTGCATCTAAAATGCACAATTATAAACACAAGTATAAGCCCAGTTACAATACACTATATATTCATTTTTCATCTACTCATATTATATGCGGGTATTCAAAATATTTTGAATTCATTCATCTTCTAGGGCCACCTGTAACCTCTGATGTTGATATCGGGACTCTTCATGCCAAAAACCCCTTAGACCTTTGGAAAAAGGTTTTTGAAAGGGTTTTCCCACCTGAGGTATGGTTTCCTCTGTAAACAATAGTAATGGTTTAATAATGCCTGCCTGACCCCTGACCTTTTTGTCTTCAGAACACCGTAAGGAGCTGAAAGATCCTGCTAAAGACCCTCAGTACAGTGAGCCCCTTATAGACTCTATCAGAGCCCAGAAAGACCAGGTAAAAGAAGCATGTTTAATGTCACTGTAAAATCACCTTTTAGCAAATATTTGTCTTCTAGTAACCTCTAGTCATGCGTATATATATATATATATATATATATATATATATATAACCCCACAGGAAAACTGACTCAGAGTTATTACTGTATTGCATCCATTAACGGATTCTCCAGACTGCTTTACTTTAGAGTACAGTATGTGACTGAGAGTTACCCTGCACCTCACACTCACTGTCCTTCAGTAGCTTCTCACCTACTTTGATTTAGGCTGTTATTGCTGAGTGCTTGGTGATTGCAATAATCAGCCAATATGTGACAGAAGGTTACTATTGCACAGTTTCACTTGCTCAGATTGCAGTTTTTGTACATTAAAATTCTAGAGTAAAACATGTTCAATTATGCTATTATGTAAGATTTAAAAATAATAAAATTTCATAATTGAATGATTTTCTACACAGTAATCAACTTTGAATCAAAAGTTTACAGCATGTTTTTAGAAAGTAAGCCAAATCTAACTTGACTAAAAGATCCAGATTAGATCGAATGCACTTTGGTTAGAATATCAGCCACACAAATGTATCTAATGTATTAGCAACTTTTTTCCTTGTTTTTTCTCATTTCACTCAAAACCCTTTAGAAGATGACATCTGTATTACTGTATTGTACTGGACTTCATTCACTTTCCAATATGTACCATACAGAATGAAATGTCTTTATGTACAAATATTGCTATAATATGTGTAATGGTAGTATGGCTGTTTGTGTTTATCCTTTTTAGCTTATATTGCTTATTTATAGTTAAATAAAATTTGGAGAATGTATTTTTGTAAATAGAATATTAAATGCACTATTTTGTATATTTCCATATCAAAGCATCCCTTGATAAATATCAAATTATTTCAGCTGTATACAACACACAACTCCACTTAATTAAACAAAAACTTGTTTTAATATGCTGTTCCCCCCTTTATTAAGAATATGCAAAATTATGTAAAAAAAAGTGCCATAACAATTAAATTAATTGAAACAAAAATAAATAAAACATACATTAAAACAAAAACAAAAAAATAAAAAACACTGATATGATACACAATGTGTAAACCACACAGGGAAAATCGATGTACCAAGCACTTTATCTGCCGTCCACCCTCTCATACGCTGCTGGCAGACTGTCACACAGGTTGTTTTGTCAGAGGGGCGTCCCACTGGAAAGGCATCTTGTAGTGAGTACAGCGGGATTTAGTGGTGACCTAATCTTTTTAGTGCCCTGAATTGACTACTTCATTTCACATTATGCCTTTGATGTGCAAAATGAAACTGTATCACAAAGAATCAAGTCTCGTCATCCTTAAAAGACTGAAAGCTGAATATACTGGGCACTTAGTGACATCATACATGTAGAAAACACACAAAAAGCCCACTGGATGTATTCTGTCAGCTACCAGTCTGCACTATCGTCTAAGTCTACAGTTACACTATATGCCAGAAATACTCTTCCTACTGGGCTCCTAAAGACAGGCCTAGTAAGTGGTTCAGGTTTACGCCAACATCCTCCTAAAAATACAGACAAGCAGCAGAAGGAAAGAAACAGGCAACAGTAAACGCACACAGAGAGGTGGAACATTTTCGTGAGAAGAAGGCTAGTAGGTATCAGAGCATCATAAAGACACAGATTTCCGTCTATGCAGAATGTTAGTACACACATAATCATAAGGCTGATTCAGCTGTGCTGATCGAGGGAGCATAAAATCGATTTAGCCAGGGTGCAGTTTACCAGTCCATTAGTGCATGCCATGCATTTGTCTGCAAGTTCCCTCTCTTTATGCTTTTGTAATTGAAAGCTACAAAATTTTGCAAAGACTTTCAATGGATATTTCAATTTTCAATTATACAAATTCTTCATTACATTAAAAAAAAAAAACAATATCAAGACCCTTATTAAGCTAATTTAGAATAGCTTGAATGCACACAAAAATGTAACATCTAAAACATTTCCCAAAAATTACAGTTATCTAAATAGACACATTTCAAAATACAATTGCAGAGTTTGCGCATAGTTTGCTGCACTCAGTTTGGCAAACTGTGCAGAACGTGTTATCAAAGAAAGGTAAGCTCAGAGGAGAGCAGACAGGCACTGGAGTTATTTTTGTCCGTTCACGAGGGATCCGTCTGGCAGTTCATTGGGCTTGCTTCCTGTCACATGCAGCTGTGTGTGTTTTGGTGCGGTTTTGCTTAGCCGAGCTAAGCGGTCAGTCCAGATACACAGGTGTGATCCTAAAGGTTACACTACAGGGTAAAACAACAAACAGACCTCATACAGAATCCTGTAGAAGGGCACATAGTACATTATACATACACATATAAGATCCATTCAGGAACAAGTTACAGTTTGTAGTTTTATTAGTCCAGTTTACTAAAAGAAAGTCTTTTATTTGCTAGCGATGGCACTCTCCTCTCCAGTGGGGTGTGTGCGGTTGAAGTTGTGTCCTACGCTGGGTTTCTCTGGGCCAGGGCTGATTGCTGTTAGCGTTGGCTGAGGGGCTCCGTTACTGGGCAGAGGCCCCCATACGCTCTGAGACCCAGGACTGCTTTTGGGTTTGGGGGTGGTTGGACTGGTCAGGCCGAGGCTGGTCAGAGCGTCAAGGGTTCCATCAGGGTCCACCATCACATTTATAACTGCAGGGATAGAGAAACGCATCAGAAAGTGTGTATTTTATTTAGCTACATCTGCATATACTTATTTAAATTAAACAAAAACATCATGAGTGGACTTTGATGTAACAGAAGTTATCTAAATATATATCAAATAATACAAAAAAAATACATATCAGCATATCAGAAAATAGAAATGTTAGAAGATTATTAAGGCAAGCTAAATTTAGCTGCATTGTGCCGCTGTTGCATTTAGTGTAGACATGGTGTAAGTCTTACCTTGAAGCTGTTTTTCTACCCTCTTCAGCTCTGTTAGTATAGATGAAATTTCCTAGATGGTAGAAAGAATAATTAGCAGAAGTACAGATCAATGTGTATTATTGTAAGACATTCAGCATTAAGGAACTTACCTTGTTTGTAGATTTGGGAAGTGGAACTTCATTGTCCAAACAGAGTTTACTCTCAATATCATCCCAGTTCCTGTCTTTGTCCTTGAACAATATCCTTTAAAAATATGAATAAGTAACTATATTACTAAATTGTCTTTTAAATGTTTCAAATAGTAAAAAAAAAAAACACAGAGATAGAAGATTACATTTATCCTTGATATTTATCTATTAGCAGTGACAATTTACATGGGAAAATGCAAAACTGTAATATAAGAAGTAAATTCCTATAGAAAACCACGTCACGTTTTAAAACAGAGCTTCTCAAACTTCAAGAACCTCTAAATAAAATAAAATTCACTGAAACTTCATGATTTCAGAACTTAAGATCTGTATGTTCTTAAAAGGTTATATATATATATATACTGTATATATATACACACACACACACACACATAATCTTACCATCTTAGCACATGAAAATATGTTACTACTCCATTAACTATATTCTAGTCCAAAATATAGTAAAATATAGTACCTTTGACAATGTTGGAAGTAAAAAAAAAGTTAAATAAAACGACTTGGAGTTATTGGGTTCCATTAATTTTAATTACAGTAGGTGTGACACCAATGACATTTTTTATTTGTAAATTTTTTTACAATTATTCAGTGTGAATAATTAAAAACAAAAAAATAAAACAAATATACCGGTATTATAGTATGTATTAATATAGTACATAGTAGGTTTAATGTAAGACTGTTCGATTTCTGTAACATAATTTTCAGCAATTATAAAATGACTGTTTATGTAATTTGGTTTAATGAGGAACACAGTACACATCTATGACTCTATGACTGACCTGATTTTGCCAGCGGTTTTATCTACAGACTGTCGGATTTTGGAAGACAATTGGGAAACCGACGTCAGCAATAAGCTGTCTAGCACCGCCTGCAAAAGAACAACCATCAGGACCGAGTCAATCAATAATTTACCAAACAAACAACATCCAGTCAATAAAGCACTGAGGTAATTAAACTTAATCACATCATATCAGTTTTCACATCACCACTCACACGCCAGGCTACACTGCACAAGACGTTCTCTCATCTGGAGCCACAAACACACACTTAAAAACAAACAACACACCTGAAGTCTGCTGAATTATTCACCTAACACAAATTCTTAAAGACGTGAAAGATCAGGTACATGTCATGAAGTTAAGTGGTTCATACCGGTCTCACCTCATCCCGGTTCCAGGTACGTCTGCGCAGGGCCGCCTGAGGGTCCAGGCTGTCCGGGGCCCGGGGACGAAGCTCCACTGGTCTGCCATTGATCTCTGAGGCTTTGGTGTGAACTACAGGGGGAATCTTCCTGAAGTTTAGACTTTCGTCAAAAACTCTCTCGACCAGCTGCAGAAATGAACAAGAAACGCATTGAGAAGTAGCACCATTCCAGCTACTAAACATGTTGAAAGTGAGTAAGGTGTTTAGTGAAAGGCAGTGAGATGTACCTCCTCTCTGGTGTCGATGGCGGAGCCCGGTGTGGTCGCGGCCGTGCTGACCGTGGTGCTGGGTGCCGTGCCGGAGGAACTGACCGAGTCGATCTCGCCCGCCACGTCATGGATCTCTCGTGCCAGGGTGGCCAGGTCCTTGGCCAGGTCCTGACTGATCCTGCGCACACAGGGAAATAACCTGTAAACATTCAGATGGGTGTCTAGACTAGGGGCGCACAAATACACACATCATGCAAATGACATCACAGACTCACATTAGGTAGTCCCTACTCTACTCATGCACATGCTTATATATGCAAATTAACATATTGTACAGATGACATGCATCACATGCATTATTTATTTACTAGAATTATTATAACATCAAAACATACACTACCGTAAAGTTTTGGGGTGAGTACGATTTTTTGTTTTGTACTTTTAAGCAGCAAGGACGCATTAAATTGATCAAAAGTAACGGTAAAAACTTTTAAATTGCTACAAAAGATGGCTTTTTCAAATAACTTCTTTTCTTTTGCATTTTTAAAAGAATCCCGTAGAAAATGCATCAGGGTTTCCTCAAAAATATTGAGCAGCACAACTGATTTCAACATTGATAATAATAAGAAATATTTCTCGAGCAGCAAATCAGCGTATTAGAATTTCTTAAGTAGCCTATTATTTGACACTGAAGACTGGAGGAATGATGCTGAATATTCAGCTTCGACAACACAGGAATAAATCATCATTTAAAATAGAAAACGGTTATTTTAAATTATAATAATATTTCACAGTTTCACAGAAAAAAATTTCTTTCAAAAACAATAAAAAAAATCTTAATGAACCTAAACTTACCATTAGTGTATATAATATTATAACATGGTAAATACATCAAGAATTGCTCATTACATATGAATTGCACATTTGTTGTATTTAGGTTTTGATTGATGCTAATTATTATGGTGTTGAAATACTGAAATGGTTTTAGAATAACCACAAGGTGGCAGTATTGCTACATGAACAAACAACAAATTAATGGCATATAGGTGTCGCTTTTGTGTGACAAAATAGTGTAAAATCCACAGTATTTTATTCTTCCTTAAAACACATATAAACTTATATTACACATAGAAATTAAAAGTATGAATAGTACTTTTAACATCATGTCCACTCACATTAAGATAGCGTCACCGGTCACAAAAGTAGACTAATAAAATCAGATTTTAGTGGCTTGCCTTGCTGAGATCACATGAGCAGCTGTATTAAACTACTTTGGTCACCCCACAGTTACTGGACACAGTCATTTACAGAGTAAATTAACCACAGCTAACCGCAAACACTGCATTTCTAAGGTCACTAGTAACTAAAAACTTTAGCTTTTTGCTTATTGAAATTTAAATAGTTCAATGAGAACAGGAAATCAGGGGTTAATGAAAGATTACGACTAAATAAAATGTCAAAAACAATATGAAAAAGAGTGAGAGAGCTTGTGATCAGCTTGCATTAGTGTTTGCCCTGCAGCAGTGAATTTGAAGACAGTCTCTCTTGTTGCTGTTCCAGCTGTAACTAATGCTACATGAGGACATCTCCTGAGATAACCGACTATATGCCTGCATGTAACACCAGCACCAAGCTTTTCAAGTGGCCTCGCTTCTCAATGCATTTCCCCTATTCATTTTTTCCACAAGGATTTCAGAAGATTTTTCATTAAA